AAAAAACTTTCTGTGATTGATTGTGGTCAGCACTGCTAGGGAGGTCAGCCAAAGAGAGAAAGTTTATTAGTAAAACTGTGTTAATTAACGAGAAGTAGGGAATGAATCTGGGGAGAGGATTCACTAATCTTCCACACAGTAAATCATTTAATCATCCACCGTAGTCACAAAAAGAAAAACAAATGCAGCGGTTCCCAAACTTTTCCTTTGGTTCATAAGAAACTTTTTGCACCCCACACCCTCCCAAAAAAAAAAAGTTTTTTATGAAACTGTTTTTACGCTCTTTGTCCATTTTATGCCCAATTTGGTCAATTGGAAGGTGTGAGAATTTTGTGCGTAAGGGGTGGGGGCGCATTAGCGTGGCTGCTTCAATCAGATCGAAATGGACAATCCGCTTTTTTTTTGCTAGTCTCTTGTTAAAAATTCATCCATTCCATCCGTGCCTACCCCCTGCATTGGCACTGTGTCCTCTTCAGGGGGTGTGCCCCTCACTTTGGGAACCTCTGAACTTATGTTTGTAAGGTATTTCACAATATATTTTTTAAATTATTTTACAGTTTGAGGGAATTTTTTTTTTTGATCCCCAAATCGATATTACGCTGAAATGTCACTGATGAATGATGGTTAGTTTCTATGATTGGAGCATAAAGCTCAAGGATGGATGTAGCAGCAAATATCAGCGATATGTCCCCTTAGACCGTAGCCTGTTATTACCTTTCTTACCCGTGTGCTCGAGGTGTTTACAGTGGTTCCAAAACTACAGAATATCTCCACCAAAAGACATTTTTATTCCCCGTTCAATCCAGAAGCAATCAGACACTGGCATTAAGAAACAAGAAATTGTTGGCGGAATTGCCTCTGCAGTCACTTAGAGCCAACATTCAGAGTGAATCAACAGCAAATCTCAGTATTACCTTTTAGAATTATAGAGAAACGTTGGCTTACTGTGTAGCTTTTTCACTCCGATACCCAAGAAATTCCCGCGCATCTCTTGTCCGGAGATGAATCGACTCCCTCATACTTTTGCTCGGGCTAAATAAAAGGAATCTTTCTTTCCGCGCAACCTTATACTTATGACTTAGAGTGGCTAACATATTGCTGAACAGTGGGAGCCGCAGCTTCAGGATGATGGAACTTCCGCTACCCACTTGAAGGCTCACTGTTTGAAGTCAAGGGAATGAGACAATTTACTCTGTCACTCACCGTTCAAAATTGGCTCAATAATGACTTCTTACACTTATAAAACCCATAAGAGAGATTTTATGACTCCATAAAACAAAACGACGACAGTAAGTCTGCAGACACTTGACGGAGATAGTGCCGAGTGATTCTGCGACTGGGCGAGTTGCTGGCATCGGCCATGTGTTCCATCTTATTCATGCTGTTAGCTGTCATGTGTTGAAGGTTTAGGTTTGCCTGTGCGGATTTAAGCTACGTATTTCATCACATAAACGTGTCGGTTGTTAGAGTTGTTGTGTCATAAACACGACAAATGTACTAAATGAACTGCTATTAGTAAATAGAAGAGAAATATACCAAGCCCAAAACATCAAACCAGGAGGAGGTAGCCCTCCCTATATGTGACTGAAAAGTGAGATGCACTCACCAAAATTTGTCACTGTTTCCTGTTACTGAATCCGACGAAAACAACATAAACATAAATGCATAATAAATAATTTAACTCACTTTTCATGATTTGAAAGGGATAAGAATCTTAAGGAGAATCGTATCTGGCCTTTGGTTAAACACAACAAACTCCGGTAATTTCCGGTTATTCCTTCCATCAACCAAACCAGGCACAGGCAAACTAAGGCCCGGGGGCCTGATGCAGCCCATTTGGCTTTTTAATCCGGCCCGCCAAACTTGTCCAAATTATGTTATTAATTTCTATTATCAATATCATCATATTACATTTTTCGCTGCAATGCCCACATTTCTCCAATAGATGTTAATTAGTTAATTAAAACGCTCCATCTAAACTATCCAAATTTTATGACCCATTGTGGCCTGCGAGTCAAAAAACTTTGCCCACTCCTGAACTAAACCTACGTACATTTAACAAAATCAACAAAGTTATTTTAAAGTGGTGTTTTTAAAACTAATTTTTTTTTTTAAGATATGATCTTTTTCTGTGTCTGAGGTTATGACTTTACTAACTTTTATGATCTGTTTCAATACTCTCCAGCCTGGACCAAACATTAATAACCTATAACTTTTTTGCCCTTCATTTTGGCTCCCAG